GAGAGGTCTCTTTTGCTTTTGTTGTTCTTCCAAACGGAGAGTAGAAGGTCATTGTTTCTATCATTTCTAGAAGTCCAAAATTCTATTTTGGTCTAAGAAAGGGGTCGTTGTTTGCTCTTTCTTCCAAAGCCCAATGATGAAGGGGGCAAGTGAAGGCAAAGGGCAAATAACAAATCCGACAAGCTGATGACAAATGCTAAGTCCCTAGGAACCCGGGTGGTAGATCATTCACCCTTCAGTCACCTTTGTCCCTTTAAGCCAAAGGTGCTACAGACAGGATCCATCGGGCGTTAGCTCTGGTGAGGTATACCTCTCCAATTTAGAAAGCCCTAGGTATTTTGGCCACTTGATGTGTGTATGATGTTCCTCAAACCCCTAGGTCCTTAGAAACCTTCATTTTATGCTCTCCAAAATCCACATACCCGCTATCCTCTCCGCAAACCAGTGGAAATCAGGTGATTTCTAACGGGTTGCTCTCATTTGAGAGCCCGAGGAGGATGGCCATGAGATCCAGGTCGTTGGACTCCTCCAAATGCATGAAAACTTACATTCGTGTTGCTTCCCAACCCGTTGCCTACGATTAAGCCTTAGGGTAGACGCCATCATTCAATCCCAAATTGAATGATGAAGCATAGGTTTTCGCTGCTACCACTTGCATTTCCTTCATAGCAAACCAAATGTCATGTCAAAACTAGCCTACACGTACATGAAGTTGCATTTGCTAGGATTCTTAGACTTACTTGAGTTTAGTTTGATGCCCAAAATGTGCTTGATTAGTTTAGTTGGTCATCCTCATCTGGTTGGACGACAAGGGTATACCCATCCTTGAAAGATTTCACCGACAACATTTGGTAACTAAAAAATAAAGTTGCCATTTCACGGAAAAAAAAAAAGAATTTTCACTGCAAATGAAGCTGCCATCACAAGTTCTATAAGCTATTTCTAATAATTTCAAAGTGGACTACAAGGGAATGAATGAGGTGGAGAACACTTCCTCCTGGAGCACCTAAGCGCATTTCCTGAACGTAATAGCCATCATAAATGAAGGAGAAAATGAGGAAAGAGAATATCAATGGAGAAATTAGAAGCGTAAAAGGCACTCCTTGACCTTTTATTTATTAAAAAAAAATTGGAAGACACAAGTAATATTTCATCAATTATCAATATCCTGTCACTATGAGCATTAAGTCATGTTTTACTAAGATTTTACAAATATTTTCCTCATCATTACAGAAAGACTTAGGCAACTTCTAGTATGCCCAAACATGTGAACAACTGTGAATATAAAAGTGATTACAAGATAAGAATATATTGAGGCGACCGCAAGATAAGAAAAGAGAAGATAAGGCAACAAGCTAATAACATGGTATGGCATTTACAAGGTAAGCTTATACAAGCAAGTACAAAGTAAATTTCCACAAAGGCAATTATAAAGTAAATTTTCACAAAGATGATTATAAGGTAAGCGTACAAAGGCAATTACAAGGAAAGCTTACAGAGGCAATTACAAAGTAAGCTTACAAAGGCTATTATGATTACAAAGTAAGCTCACAAAGGCGATCACAAGGCAATTTTATGCAAATGATTATAAGGTAAGTTTACATGAAGGCATCTTCCAAATGAAAAACACAATGATGATAACAAAGTGTGATCCACCCAAAACTAATTGTATTGAGAAAAGAGAAAGTGTTGAAATATTTTTTTCATCTCATGAATGCATCACATGGCAAACATATTCCTTATAGAAGACCTTTATTGCAAGTTAAGCATTACATAGAACTTCAATACAAAGCAAACAAAAAACATTTAATAAGCCATGAAGGCAACTTGTAATCAACCCTTCTCCAACTTCTCTTCTCGGACAAGGAAATGCCAAGGAACAAAACCAAATATTAGGTCAAGTAGTCTCATGAGGAATAGAGCTACGCTAGATCAACCGCTAAAGAATGAACTCACCCCCAACTATGAACTAGTTGGATCGAGATGACTCCATTTACTTGCACATGGAAAGGACCTTCAGTCCTCAACTCCTAGATGTCCTAACGAATTTCGGTGACATCATTCAACAATTGAGGAAATCAATTCCCAAGCACTTCAAACTTACTCTCCAAGAGTGGCACCCAACTCATCTCAGAACCATGGAATTCCTAAAATCCTCCATAATAACAATCCAAGCTGGGCGACATACTCATTGCGTGAAACAATAGCAGAGCCATCAGTTCTCAGAATTTGGTCCTAAAAAAGGGCGAATCCAACTTCTTTTTTCAGGGTGGGCAAAAAAAAATTTTTTGTGGGGGATGAGAAAAGGAGCTTAGGATTGATAAAAATAGAGTAAAAAATTTTTTAAAGAGGGGGCAAAATACTCAAAATATTCCAAAATATACCATCTAAAATTTAAAAAAAAAAATTGAGAGTGGGCATTGCCCCCCCCCCCCCCCCCCCCCCCCCCCCCCCCCCTCAATCCAATGGGGATCCGCCCATGGTCGTAAAGGTTTGTTGCTCCCACTTTTTCTCCACCTCACCCTCACTAACAACTTGGGCAGATTCTCCTACAAGCTTGCACAAACTCTTTGTGTTATGATCCAAGGGCAACAAGTTTCCAATGTCGAACTCCTCACCAAGGGAAAAGCTCCTTCACCATCGCTGGCCCACACACCCTATGGAAGATCAAGAGGGGAAGCGCTAGCTAAAAGCACTAAGGACAAGTGCAATCACTCAATCCGTCAATTTATCTACCCACATGGAGCTCTTAAGAGAAGAACTTGTAGCCCAAAGGTGCAATTTTGCCTTAAGATTGGCTTACGCTAAAGACATGTTAGAAATCTCAATCGGAATAAATCTCAGCACCACATTATAAGGTTCAACAGTAATGCGCATGCATTCAATGACCCATCAAGCAGCCCCCTACTGGGGTAACTTTGTCATCCTCAGGTAACAAGTAGCCTAGAATCATCAACTTAGCCATGAAACACTATAGTTGATAGGATCCCCATAAAGAACAATCTCCACGCTCAATTAACCAAGCTCTAACTACACCGCCATAAGCGAGAATGACTTTGGAATCCTTTCCACATGTGCCATCTTCTTTGTGATCGTCGTTTATCTTCACCTCTTCATTATAATAGTGATTAAGGCACTTTGTGAAGGAAACTTGACTTTAAAATTTGGCTGCTTCTCAACCATCTTAGAAAGAAGATTAGCGAAAACAAAGCTCAAACGAGAGGGCTAAAAAGGAAACTCTAAGGGGTTGTTTGGTAGAATCTCGGATTTCATTTAAGTAGGATTTCATAAATCCTCCAAATCCGGATTTGCGAAATCCGGGGGGGGTTAAATCCTGTTTAGGCCGTTTGGCTGGATTTCGCCCAAATCCGGCCTAAATCTGCATACCAAACAGCCCCTAAGAATGAAGCCTTTGATTTGTATTTATAGACACTCAAGATGTTGAAGCATGTGGAGAAGACAACTCAAATCGACCCTGAATGATGTGACCACTTATCATAATGACATTTGAAAATTCTCTTTTTTTGGAACTACTCAAAAAAGTATGAGAATTGGGGGACTAATTGTACACTCAAAGCCACTCAAGTTGACTTTGAGTCAAGCCAACTGACTCCGAGGAGTTGGCATGATGCACTCATTAAAAGAAACTTATAGACAATGTCTCCTTGGCCTCAAAACCAAAGAAGTGCCACCATCATAATGAACGAATTCGCCAACAATATTAAGTTGCTACAAAACAAACAAAGTATATAATCATCAAGATAGCTCACTTACCTGCTCAACCCAAGAGGTTGACTAGTTAGCATCATCCAGAACTCATAGCACCATGGCTCATCAAAACCTAGCCAACCTAGTTGAAATCATCCAGCAACTTCACATGAACATAGCCCACATTTGGCAAGTATTAATACATACTCAATGCAGTTAAGAGCCACAACTAATGTGTTTTTCATTTTATGATAGCATTCATTAGATTATATCCTATAATTTATGCATTTTTCTTAAATGTGTCTTTCCAATTGAGTTATGTTTCAACATCCACCTAGAAGAGAGCAGATGACAAGTCGAAGGCCACAGCTTATTGTCTCAAGTTCTTTAAGCTTTACCAATAAAAAATCACAAAGCTTCTCTCCTGACTCTTTATCTTTGTCTCTCTCGTTTCCATAGCCAATCTTATTAGCAAGGTCCACGTGTCACCAATGGACAAATTAGGATTCAACGAGATATTTGAACTCTAATTTACTCGAAAGCAGAAATTGCCTCTACAGTCAGTCATGCTCACCTCCACTAATAAATTCTCGTTTAGTATAAATAAAGCATAAATAGGATGTTATATAGCGTATAAGACTGCATCTTTGCTTTATTAATCCTAATGCTAGCACAAAATGCCTATATACAAGCAAGAGAAGACAATAATAAGTTATATACAATATATCTTCAATAACAAGAATATATTACATTAATAAATATTAGAGATTCCAAATAAATAGTAAACATATATGATGATATTAATATGTTAACATAATAATTCTAGTAGCTCTAACACAAAAATTTAGAAGATCTGAGTATCAACGTGAACGGATGGGATCCATAAAATTAACTGCACCACAAGTGCATGATCCCGCAAGGTTTTGGGGAAAACAACCAGCCTCAAACCAACTCCAAAAAAAGCGGTAAACCGGCAAGCCGCGTTCCAGTTTCATAAGAATAGGTCCCTTCACTCTCATTCACTCGAAACACAAATCTCCCTCTGCCGTTGTTCATGACAGCCTCTACTGCCCAAATCTCCGATTACTCCAAAAGAACTCAAAACATGAACAGGAAACTACGAGAAGACATTACATTCACGTCCAAACAAACTAATCTCAGTCTCACCGAAGAGCGCTGGCGAAACATATGCCGTGCTAATATATACGCAAATCCGACCCATGAAACATTCGACAAGGATTTGAAGAGCAAAACGAGGAGGAAGAAGAGGGGACTGGATAGAAGAGACTTACTCTTCCTGATCATCGGAGCTCTGCGAGGAAGTGCTACTGCTGCCACCTTCGCCGTCCGAATCTGGACTTTCGTTCACGTAACAAGGCATCGAGGGATGAGATCGAGAGAAAATAAAAACATGTTATGCAATAGAGAATAGGGAGAAGGGAACGAGGGTAGCACCGTCTTGGTCTTGGGGAGGAGTCGAATGGGATGGGGTGTTGACATCTTCACCGGTGGCAGCGTTGTGATTCTCGTCGGGCGGGTCGGCGGCGGCGGATTCAAAGGGGGAAGAGTTGTCGGAGCCGGCGGAAGGGGAGGAAGCAGAGAGGGCGGCCTGCTTCTGAGCCGGCATTTCAGATTGCTCGTCAGTGAGCTGCTTCGCGTCGTGAAAACTTGAGAAAATAAGAAAGGAGAGGGAGAGCGAGAGAGAGAGAGGGGGCTGAGGGTTTGTAGATCGAAGAAGGGAGACGAACAGAGCATGCAGGTCGGGGTATGAGAAAGAGAACGAGCGAGAGGAAGCGAAGAAAAAAGCAAACTCCCGTCCCGCCACTTGTATTGTTCTTCGCTTTCTATCATGGGTTCTCTCTGATCTCTGCTCTCAGGTTTTTTTAAGGAAATTTTAATTTTTTGTGCCTGATAATGCGTTTATTTATATAAATGTATTTTTTTAATTTTTATTTAGAAAAAGTTTATTTTAAAAACTTATTTTGAATAAAACTATTATTAATGAGGGATAATCTCATATTCCATGACTATTCTTTGGATTAGGGAGTTAATTAGAATCGGCTCAAAATCAAATAGATTCAAATATTTGTTTGAACATACATAAAGCTTGAAACTTCTTTTCAAATTAGACCAATATTCAAATCTCACCATGATAATTTTTTACATTATGATAGATGCTTAACCCTATACCAATAGCAAGTCTTATTGATGCATGCTCCCACACGTCGTCTACTCTATTGATGCCTTTTCTAATAAGCTCTGTGATAAACTTTTCTTTAGCGTGCAATTTGCCTCGTTAACCCAAAGAGGTTTGTCACCAACTCTTTTTCTCCTTCACACATGACTAGTCTTACTATTGCCTTATCTAATGAGCTATGTCACTTTACATGTTATCAATGTCATCCCCAATGAGATCCATCATCCTTCACATGTCACCAATCTCTGTTGATGTCTTTCCCTACTCGTGGCTATTTAAATTAGATTCAAATATATATGTAAAATCAAACCAACCTGATAAAAACTAGACTGGCATAACCACATGACCTCTTTACGTGAAAGCCTCAAACTTGGACTTCACTTTGTTCTTCCATAATGATGCTACATATGTCAATCATTGTGTAAATCGTGCAATTTCTCCCACTTCATGCCATCTTAGGTATCAATTTAAGTTGATGAAAAATGTTAGGCATTACACGCCCAATATTCTCTCCCTCAAAGTTGTTAAGCCTCCCACTAATTGAACCCTCCTTGCATCATTGTATGTATCATAGTTAATAACAAGAAATATTCCTCGCATTCTTCTTATTCTTCTTAGACCCAAAGCTACCCAATATCCCTTCTCTTCCTTCGTTCCTCAATGTCAATAAGAAGCTCTAATCTTCTCACTCTCTTTTAATGTATACATATTCTTCCTAGTATTTCTTCTTTTTCCATAGCTATATATATATATATACAATAGCATAAGAATCTCAAGCTATAAAGAGCAAGAACTAAAGAAGTAATGATTATGTTTTTAGTCTAATGTTTTTGTGTATTTGCATGTATTTAGTGTTGTAAATGTTATGTGAACTTCACATTAATGTAATTTGCTTTTTTAGAGTTTTAGATTTAAGTCTTAATCATGTTATGTGAAGCATTGAATGGTCATGCTAGTATGCATGAGAGAAAGATGGTGATTCTAGGTGGGCCCGCCACTTCTCCCTATTTCCCTCCTTTATTTTGATTTTAAATTGAAGAGATGTGTATATTCACTTGGTTTTATGTTATATAAAGCATTCTAAAACTAAAATGAATATATATATATTATTTGTTTACTAAAAGCCACAGTGGGATTACATGTTAAATAAAAAAAGTACAAACCTAAAAGGAATCTACAGCCCGCTAATGTGCAAAAAAATAGAAAAAGAAAACAAAAAACCTAAAGGTCAGAGGATTCCCAAGGGATCCTAACTCACTACTGCTCGAAGAACTATAAAAAATGAAAAAGAAAGTGAAATAGACATAATGTGATTTATCTTGATCT